CTTATTTGCGCCCACGAATTTTTTGGCATTAGATGATCAAAACCTAGGAGCGTACTAATCTGATTTACTGAAGCGATAACAAACTTTTCGTCATCCAGAGAAACTGGTACGGGTTCACCCGATGGGTGTCGGGATATATAATCAACAAATCCCATATCTTTACCGGGTAGATGTTCTACAGTAAAGTCGAACGGTAAAAGTTTATCCGCCCAACGGGTGAGACGTGATTGGGCCGTTTTGGTGTATTTATCGTCTTTCAGTGCTCCTATTAGAGCTTTGTGGTCTGTTAAAATTGAGAATTGTTTACCCAGTAGATAATTTTTAAAATGATCTAGTGCCCACACTAATCCCAGTAGTTCGAGTTCATTAGTGCTGTATTTTAATTCGGCAATATTCAAAAATCTGCTAGCAAACGCTACTGTCTTCCAATTCCCCCGATGGTCTTGTTCGATGGACGCGCCCAGTCCTAAATGTGAGGCATCGCATTTCACCCGAGTGTTCAGTTTTACATCGAAATGGTGGTTCGTCACCGTATTACAAATTTCGTTCTTGATTTTTTCAAACGCTTCCGTATGTACTGAGGACCACTTAAATGGTTTATTTTTTTGCATAAGTTCTCTGAACGGTGTTGATAGGGACGCTAGGTTTGGTATAAACTTATTAAATTGGTTAATCGATCCCATTAATGATCTGATATCTTTGATGCAATTTGGTTCTTTTAGATTTCTAATTGCGTCAGATTTATGTATTAATGGTGTCGTCCCTTTTGCGTCGATTCTGAATCCCAACCATTCTATGTTGTGGGTTAAAAATGTGCATTTTTCCCATTTTATGGCTAGTCCCTCGTCATCTAGCGTTTTTAACACATTAATGACTAGCTTTTTATGTTCTTCCTCGCTACCCACGGTGGCGATTAGGATGTCGTCAAGATAACAATGAGTATTTGGTAGTTTTTCCGTCAAACGGTCCATTATTCGTTGAAATTCATTAGGCATATCGCCTAGTCCGTAGAATCCGGTTTTGAAACGGTATGAACCCGTTACTTCTCCCCCCACAATGTTAAAATTACACTGATTGCTTGCCTTTTTAGAAAGCGGTATTTGGCTGTAGGCGTATTTTAAATCTATCGATGAAAACCAGATGTTTCTTTGATCGTGGCCGCTAATAGTAACTGCTACGTTGTCAATTAGTTCAAATAGATTCGGCATTTGATATCTATTGCGAAATATCTGTTTGTTTAGTAGTTTTGAGTTCAATGCTAGTTTGATTGATCCGTCCCTTTTTGCTGTAATCACGATGGGGGAAATAAAACAATCTTCAGAGCATCTAGATAGTTTTTCGATGTGTCCGTCTCTTAATAATTGGTCGATACATAGTTTGACTTTGGGGAGAAGATGGATCGGGATACGTTTCCCTTTTACCTGTATCGGTTTTATCGGTTCGTTAAAATAAGTATTAACTACGTAGTTTTTTGATCTACCAGTCCTTTTTATGAGGTCTGAAAAGTGCTTTGATATGTATAATTTAAACTCACTTTGAGATGGTGTCTCTTGGTTTTGATCCTGTTGGTTGTCCGATGCGAATTTTATTTGATTGACGTTTATCCCAATGGGTGATACTTTCTGATCTTCCCGTGACTTTAACCCGTTGGGTGGAGGTTGTTTCTGAAATACTACAATGCCCAAATTCGGTAAGATGTCGTTTCCTAGTAGATTTCTTTCAGCCCCTTCAGTGATAAAAAGTTTTTGGTCATTAGCCTCCCATCCTTTCGATTGGATTTTCACTCGAACTCTTCCAATGATATTGATCGTACTCCCGAAGCCCTGGTATGCTTTCTTTGTTATTTCGTCCACAGGTTCTAGCTTTAAAAATCTATCTCGTATCTTCAATTCATGTAGTAGGTCTTTTTTCAAGAAGGAAACTGGACTTGCGGAGTCAATTTGAACCTCGGTGTAGTAAGGGTTGAAATTTCCCAGAGATACTTTTAGTGTCTTTTTCAATTCTAATCCTTCGTGGTTAAATACTGTTCTCACTCCACGCTCTATTTTGTCTTCTACGGCATTTATTTGATTATCTGTGTCAACGGCTAGAACTAGGAAGTCATCTAAGTTAACCTCAAATTCGGGATTTTCCTGCGGGTTGGTCCGGATATTTTCGTTTTCTTGGGGTACACGACTCTGATCAACGATGTTAGTTTGTGTTTTTGCTGAACTCCTACAGTGTTTGGCAAAATGTCCTTTCCGTCCGCACGTATTGCAGTTTCTATCTCTAGCCGGGCATGTGGATAGGTGTCCTTTTTTGAATTGTTGACCGCAATTGCGGCATTTGTTATTTTCGACGATATTTAGGGTTGGTTCGTTCTTCACGTATTGTGGTCTTGGTCCTGGGTTGTAAGTTGGGAATTTTAGATACTGTTGATGGATTTTAGTACCTTTTTCATGAACTTGTACGTAAGATAGTACGTTTTCTGGGGTCAAATATTCTATACATAGTTTCTTTTGGATCTCGACATTTCTCATGTTTGTGATGAAATTGTCTCTTACTAGTTCTGACTCGAGTTCCCCCAGTTTACAATTTTTTGCTAGTTCTGAAAGAATTTCATGGAATTTTTCTAAGGACTCATGTTCTTTCTGTCTTCGGCCAAAAAATTTAAACCTTTCGTATGTTAGGTTTGTAGTGATCGTGAAAGTAGTTTTTAATAGTTCCCAAAATTCTGCGAAATTGATATCCAGAATTCTTTTGCCAGGATTTTTATGAGAGAAGCATTTCTGTCCTTCTTTTCCGAGTGCTAGGTATAACTGTGATTTTAGCTTCTTGTCAACGTCTCCGATTTGAAGTCCGTTAAATTTAGCGTTATCTTCCGCCCTTCTCCTTCTTAATTCTTCGTTATAATTTTGTACTGCTACTCTGTGATGTTCCTCTTTTTCGGCCCGACGGGCCTGATCCTCGGATGGGTCCGGTGGTTCTGCCGTAGGGTAAATTAGTTCGTTTCTTTTCGGTGGGTTAATTACATCTTCGATGTCTACGGAGTCTTTCGCAATAATTGTCAATTGAAACTTTTCCGCCCACCGTTCCCAGTCATGTTGATTTTCGTTTGATGAGTTGTTCCAAAAAAACTCTAATCCACGTAGATTCGATTCGTTAGACTGCGCCATGTTAAAAAATTAGGATACCACTCGTAGTTGTATAGGAGTGTACTTAAGCTAAGAATAGATTAAGAATACGGATGATTATGATTCCTACTAAAACAGTAGGCTTTTATTTAATACTAAATAAAAGACGGTGATGCTAACTAAAGTAAGAGAGGTTTAAACGATTGAATTGGTTTCGGTTTTGTTTGTTACGTATCATAAAAGATAGTGGCCAATTCTGAGTCTACCAAAAGCCGTTGCGCTTTTGGCAGGTGTATAAATTAACAACTTAAAGGTCAACGATCAGTAAAGATCAGAGGTTAAATGAACAAACAATAATACTTTTACACTATTCCTAATAGATTCTTAGCCCTCCTGGGCTATGCATGCTACGCGACGGTGGGGTTTCTCGCGATTCCCGGATCCAAACTTGCGATGCCTTCTCTTGTGTATGTAATTCGTATGATCAGCATCAGTTTGTCTTATTTGTTACAAACATTCTGGCTGCACAAAGAACCGCAGCTGTTTTCCAGTATCGGATCCGCGCTGATTTGTCTCTCTATAGTTGCGCAGTCGGCAATTGCTCTTTTGCGAGTTCCAAAAAAATTATCTGCTCAAAATAACGACGAAGTCATTGATTCTTCATCCGATTCATGAATCATGAGGCTAGAGGGCAGTGTTATTTTTAAGAAAAACAGAACAAGCAGAAGCTGAACAACAACTGGACTTGCCAAGAAAAGGTTGACTAAAAAACTTGGATTATTCAGCATCTATTTTTTACCCAATTAATTTATTTTAGTATGTAGAATTGGTGATTCTACTGTATTACATGCTATGGTAACCTGAGCGTAAGATTGATTCGTCGTTAAGTTAAGTAGTAGAGCAAACAAAGGGCAAAATTCAAAATAGTTCAATCTTTGAAGATATCGTCCCTCCTAAGCCAGAAAAAAAAACAAATTTTGACAAAATCAGCGAACCCTCCCCCCCCCCCCCCCCCCCCCTTCCAAAAAAAAAAAAACAAAAAACCGAAACTAAGAAAGCTAATGTTATGAAATTCAGAGGAGCGATGCGATACTAGAGATGATTTGACCCGGGCATACAAAAAACGGGAACCCTCAGACCCTCGGGGGGCAAGTGATAACGGTCCCTGGAAGTGAAAATGACCTTATCAGAACTCGGTAACTAGCGGCGGTATTGGGCTCAAATTTTAGTTTGTTGTAGGCCTAGTTGAGGGAAGCTTGAGTTTGGAACCCCAGACCCCTAAGACCCCCACTTCGGGTTTATGCCCTATACTAGAGATGATATGACCCGGGCATACAAAAAACGGGACCCCTCAGACCCTCGGGGGGCAAGTGATAACGGTCCCCGGAAGTGAAAATGGCCCTATCAGATTTCGGAAACTAGCGGCGGTATTAGGCTCAAATTTTATTATGTTGTAGGCCTAGTTGAGGGAAGCTTCGAGTTAAGTTTCAAAATGTTTCAGCTGAGCTATGGTGTAATGGTGCTGATTTATATTTGGAACAATAAGTGTATTGCTCAACAGTTTCATTGGTTACACTGACTTTAATAATTCAATTTTCAAAAGCATTTATTCGACTATCTGTTTTTAACACAAACCAATGTTACTATGGTTACAAAATGTGTCACAAATCAATGTTACACTGGAGTTTTCTGGTACAAAATCTAAAAGTGGTCAAAACTCTGAGTAAATAATGCAATTTAATTGAGTTCATATCTTCCGGATTTGACATCCTTTATATTTCACTTTCAGTCGCGTGGTTCCGCATTCACTTCATAGCACTCCGGCTCCTTCACGAATCCAACATTTGGGGCCATATTTGGTAGCTTTCCCCCTGCAGGGGTGACTCTTTACTTCCTTAATATGTTAGCGAATACCAGAAACAGTTCCATCTTGGCGATGTTTTTGCCCGGACAAGCTCTGGTTCCCACTGGGAACGGCATCAGGTACATGTTCTTTTCGAATTTACCTGAAGGTTAATCAAAATTTAAGCTGATTCTTAAGAGTTATCTTGTTAAAATTTCATAGTTCTCGAATAATTTGTACCGCAGTAACTGAAAGCCAGCATCATCCCAAAAAACAGCAAAAAATTCTAACTTTCAAAATATTCTGAAAAAAGTTCCGATGCAAAAATTTCAGGCAAAAATGTCTCAAAAACCATATAATGTGTGAAAAAAAAGATTTTAGAAAAACTACAAGAGTTTCTAGAACCAACTTAATTAGTGAAAAATGATCTTGAAAAAATGTTATGTCTTTTCTTTCAATATTCTGGAATGAAAACTTTAATATATTTTGGGTGCTTAAATTTCGCTACTATCCTTCGTCGTCAAGGAAACTTTCGGGGTTGAAATCATCAGGAAACTTTCACAGTTTCGGGTTGTGATAGATGGGCGACAAGTTCGGCATCATTCGGGTTCCTTTCGGGATTCGAAATCCGTGAAAATCCTCGACCGTCTCACTCGCTGTGTGATCGATTGTGCTGGAAAGCACGGGTGTTACACGCTGCACTTCTTGAATTGTCGCACACGTGAAGTCACAGGTGTTTAAACCACTCAAAGGTATTATTTGTGACTTATCTGGAAACTCAGCTTTCAGATCCTCGTAGATTTTATCCTGGATATCTGGATGATGCATCATAAGCAATATGGCCCATGAAAGGGTCATAGTTGTCGTCTCCTGTCCGGCCATGAACATATCAGTGAGAATGAATGGGGTATCGTGTTCTGGAAATGGGTACGCTTCATTTTTATATTGCATCAAGTCGCTCCATATATAGTCGGCAACGCAGATCGGTTCTTCGGTCAGAAACTCTTTCTTGTCTTTCGGCTTCCGAGCCTCGAAGAATTCTTTCATCTCTTTGATAAAACCAAATCGCAGCTCTTTCAGCTCTTTAGCCTGAAAACATTAGTGTAGAAATATCAAGAGTAAATGAACCACCCGAAGTTTAATCCAACCGAAAAAGCCCAGCCGAAAAGTTACATCATATGAATGATTTTGCATATTTTTTGTAACTCTTACATAATTGTTTTCATAACTATTATATTACACCTAGGTATTTTTTGGCCGGTTGGTATTTCGGCTGGTTTAATTTTCGGTCGCCATACTAAAAACTATGACGGCAATCAGGGGCGAATTTAGGAAGGGGGCGGGGGGGGCGGACGCCCCCCCCCCCCCTCAGGGATTCGACCCCCTGCCGACCCAAAGGATCCCCCTTTGATACTTTTTCAGAAATACATTTTTGGCCAACCGACCCTAAATTTTTTCTAAAGGCGCATTTGGCGCCAATATATACTAACTTTGAGGGGGAGCGCGCGGCAAAAAAAAATCAATTTGGTCGACCTAAAAAAAAGGTCGTCAAAGTTTTCGAATTTTTTTTTTTGAAAATCCCCCCCCCCCTCGAGAAAATCCTAGATCCGCCCCCGACGGCAAATTAATGTCGAAGCTGGCTCTGATCATTCTTAATACAGAATTTTCTGTTAATGCAGTATTTTGAGCTAATAATTAAATTTTTTATTATTTTTTTATCTGTCGAGATTCGCTGCTATGATTTTGCAGCTGTTTCTCGGAAAATGAAAAATAAAATTGAGCAAAACTGAGCAGACAAATGTTCGATTTCCACTCACCCCCGCCATCAAAAAATTGAATATTTCCCATTATAGCCCCTCGACTAAAAACTAGAAAAAAAAATTTCTAGCTTCCCTAACTGTGATTTTGCCAAAACGTGGAAGGGATATGATTTGTTGGGGGTGGGGGATAGGAGGAGGTGGAGTTTGGGATGGAAAGAATCGAAAAGTTATGTTAACATCAACACATTAAAAATATGAGTGAACAAACCTGTGCCAAGTGTCTGCTTATCCAGTAGGGTAGCACCCATATAAGGAGGGTGGGGTTGAACAAATGCAACACTCTGTTCAGTCTCAGATGTGCCTGACGAAGTGGGGGTCATCGAACTGATTGGAAATGTCGAACAGCAGTTTCATGATCACATTGTTTGTAGGCATTGCCATAACTCCCTTCAAAGAAACAACAACGATAGTCGATTGCTGTCCAAGAAGCATGACAAAATCGAAAAATGAAAAAATCAAGAAGCATGAAAAAATCAAAAAATGCAAAAAATCAAGAAGCATGAAAAAATCAAAAAATGCAAAAAATCATGAAGCTTGAAAAAATCAAAAAACGCAAAAAATCAAGAAGCATGAAAAAATCAAAAAAATCAAAAAAAAGCAAAAAAAATCATGAAGCTTGAAAAAATCAAAAAACGCAAAAAATCAAGAAGCATGAAAAAATCAAAAAAAGCAAAAAATCAAGAAGCATGAAAAAATCAAAAAATGAAAAAAGCAAAATTTTTTCCGTTTGAAATTTTCGATTTGATATTGCGGTCGCGCCATTTACACTGGTATCTTCCAAACGGTAAAATAATTTAAATTTTTTTTTTCATTTTTTGAAAACTGTACAAAATTTTGAGCGGAATTTCAAGTCATGATGCAGAAAAATTGAAAAAATCCATTAGTTTTGACCACAATTTCATGAAGGATATTATGGAGAAAAAATAGCTTAAAGAGAAAACACTTTCAGCGCACCCAACTGGTGTGTTTCAAATTAGATACATAAATTAAATGCCAAATTTGATGAATACAGAACACTGGACTACGTGAGCAAAAGATAGTCATCATTTCTAAAGTTAGTAAAAATTGGCACAGTTAGTTCGAAATGATCGTAGCTGTTTAGGGTTGTGTGTGTGTGTTGGGGGGGGGGGGGAGGGGGGAGTGGCTGCAGATATTTTTGGGTTGAATCTAGCCTGGAGATAAAGTGGTCTGTTTTCGTGTCTCTGTGTTTCAATGTGCTGCAACATCATCTCAATCTGTTGCTCTATGCCCTGTGCGAACACTGTCTTCCCCACCCCGAAGTGTCTCAGAGTCGTCAACGCCAGTCGTCTCTTTGCCCGACTCACCTCCCCCGACGAGAACGCCACACCATAGCTAAAACACGCAGATTAGATTATATTTTGTTTAAATTCATCTCTATAACGATTTCAATACAAAAAATAGTCATATAATTATTTTATTTTGACAATTTTTGTATTGACAATAAAATGTCGATAACGAAAGTAATTACTATGGATTAAAACAACTTTTCTCCTTAATAATGATATTATTGCGCTCAAAAATACAATCAACATATTGTTTTATTTGATTTACATCATGCAAAAAATAACGAACCCGTTTCCGAGAAACTCGAAGAGACCGAAGATGGCTCGGTTCGTGAATCGGGAGTCGTGCAGCACGTCTCGGATCATCTCATACGAATCAATCCACACGTCCCAGATAATCAGTCCGATAAACTAGAGTGAAATAATCGGACCATGTTTCTTGTGTAATTTCTGCATTTTAGAGGTGAAATTAGAATCGAACGACACATTATGCAGGTTTCCAATAACAGGTAAACAAAAGGGTCCTGGTAGGAGCTTGGAAGGTCTCGACTTTTTCCAGAACAAATAAGTAAAAATGACCAAAACTCCGGCTACTTTGTACTCGTTCATGTCTTGGACTCGTTTTTAAATATAAGAGACCAAAAAAGACAGAATTTGACGTGCGTTGAGTTGTGTTCTTAGGTCTAACTCATAGAGTAATTTCAGATAGGGTACACCGTCTGCTCGTCACGCTATCTTACTTTCGGCCGGAACTTCTTAGTCAAATACCGATCTTAATCTTACTCTTATATCTGCTAGTCTCAATTAGTCTCAATAGATCTAGAGTATACTGGTTTATTGCGAGGTCTCTGAGAGAGGCAACTAAGTTCTAAGTTAAATTCAAAACTCTCTGGTGCTGAAATTACGAGTAATTTCAGCATTTACAAATAAATGGGTTGTTAGTTTGATGGAGTATGATTATTTAGTATTAAATATTTTATAGAGATAAAATATCTAATTTATAACCAATAATAAATTGTAGTTTAGATCTGGTTCCACCCATCCGGGGTTTACAGAGTTTTTGAATCTTTCGTCTTCTATCCGTAATGGATGATGGATGATGATCGTTGGTATTTGGCGAGCATCATTTCTTGTTCCGTTCTTGAAGAAGGAAGCTCCAGGAGGCTAGATTCGTCGATATGAGTTTTGTCATTCAACAATTACTGTGACTGCCAACGAAATCAATCTGATTTTGAACTGGTTTGTTATGATTGTTCGTTCTGCTTCGGCGGAGAACTGACTGTGTTTCGTTCTTATCTGGAAAATGGCGTGACGATTGAGTTTGGAGGGAATGCCTTGTAACTCGGATCTGTACGTATACTTGAACATCGAGGCGGTCATTGGTCTGATTCATTGAAGTACTTTTCTGCGAAGTCAAGTCGTACTTCAAATCCCTTTGAGTTGTGATTGTGATCGGCATATCGGTTATGTTAAGCCATTCTGTAGATTGAATGTGAGGGGGTCGTCTAGTTTCTTGATGCTCGTCTTTGTGGTCGTGTATGATCTATATACTGCATTATATGATTTACATTTTATAAAATTTTTGTTATTTCGGTTTTTTAGCTATGGTTTCTTTTAGTTGTTATCGCAAAAGCTTTTAATTTTAGTTCTGTTATTTTTAAGAGTTACTCACCCTTGAGTACTTCTTGTCAAAAATAGGGAGTGGGTCACAAAGCGTGTTTCTATCACGGTGGGTTAGGCCGGCTATTAAGCATGCTCAGGACGTCCTCTTCTGGTGGGTTAGGCCAAGAGTGAGGGTATGATTACATGCTGGTTTTTTATGGGGTCCTGTTTTGTGTTAAGATTTTATGTTATATTGTTACTGGTTTTTTCCTTTTGTTGATTTGGTTGTGTCCTTTTCTTAAAAATCAAATTGTTTGGTTTGGGTTTGTCTTGCGACTTTTTGGTGTTTTACTTTTTTTAGACTTGTCAATAGTCTTCAAAAGAAAAAACAATCCAGTTCTTAAGCTGGTTTAATCCGGTTTTGGTACCGTGGGTTTTCTTCTCTTAGTCATGCTGTTAGTTTGTGGTTTACGGTGTTTAGTAAGCTGCGTTGGTTAGTTTGGGTTATTTTATAATTCCTTTCAAACCGGGTTAAGAGAAATTTGAAAACTTGTTATCGCATGTTTGAGTTGTTGTAAGTGAAAGTTAAAATTTGAATTCATTATTTAAAACAACTGGTCGTGGGCGAGCTGTGCGAGTTTGGATAGAATTCTTGTGCGAGTGAATATAAAGAAGTGATATAAAAGGTTAGTACTGCTCTCTTCTTGGAAAAATTTATTACTTAAATGTTGAATTTTACTGCTTTTTGAATTATTAATTGATTTTCATTGTATTTAAATTTACTACATTGGGGAAAATAATTTATAGATTAATTTACTACTGAGAGGAAGCAATTTTACTGCATCATTCAGTGCGGTTTTTTAAGAAAAATTTATAATTTGTAAAAGAGTTCTGTATTTTTATTTGTTTTTTCTAGTTTGTAGATGATCGTGATTTGAACGCTAAAGAAAAAAAACATTTTATAAAGAATGGTTAGTTGTATTTTAAATTAGTTAGTTTTGAATTATTCAATTCATATTCACCTAGTCGTCAGGAAAGAAGCCATGAGGGTAAACATCGTGAATGACATCAGATGTGGTATGCGGTAGTTGCTAAAATGCGAATGATACTTTTAGTCTGAAGCAGTCGCCAAAGCGATTGGAGTTCCTTTATGATTTTTAGTTTGTCAGTGCCAATGTAAAATTCATAAGGTGTGTTTTGGATTAGATTGTAAAGTTTGTGATTGTAATTAGTGTTGTGGATAAATTCTAATTGGTATTTCTATCGATTGAATGTATTCATGCGGGACAATGAGTGGTCGGGATTCTTCTACTTTGAAGGTTTTAGTGAGGGGACAGAATATATACATTTGCGTGATGGGGTCATAATTACGAAGGATGCCTTGAAGGTTGGTATTTTTAATACAATATGTGAAATTAAGAAAAAACAATGATGTGTATTTGGAGTTAATGAATTGAAATCGATGATGGGGTTGTTGTGATGATTTGTGTAAGTTGAAATGATTTTGTATGAATCGATGATAAGTGTAGGTGTGTGTCTGTTTAGTTCTTAACATGATGTCGTGTGAACAGTGCAAATCAGGTTCTTTGGGTGTAAGGAAATGAAAGGTTAGTGAAAAAGTTTCAAATTTGTCATAAAATGATTCGTAAGCTTGGATGTCAGATAGTGCTTCTGAAATAATTTGATCGTGTTTTTTGTCTAGTATGCTAAGTGTGAATAAATAAGGGGTTTTAAAAAAGAATTTTTCGGTTAATTGTGGGTTAGCGAATTGATAGTCGTCAAGAAATTGATCTTGGTTAGGTCTGATGATATTGTGATTATAATAATCGATTGAGTATTCGTTATCTCGAGGTGCCGTGAATGTTATCTCGAGGTGCCGCAATATGGTACGCATTCAGTGGATGCTGGGGGTTAAAAAGATTTTCTCGAATTTGTTCTGATGTGGGAGTTGAACCTAAATAATCTGATGGAATTTTTGAAGTGCTTTGTTGTGAAGCAAGTGGAGGAGTTTCTGGTAATGTGCTACTAGAATAGTCTGAGGGTGTTGATGTCGGTGATTGAGGTATATTAAAATGAACTCTGGGGTTTGAAAATTTTTGTTTTGTCTTGGATGTATGATTTGTCTATTTATTTCAAGTGTATTTTGGTTTTGACTAATATGTCTTACTCTATTAAGATATTGTTGTAGAGTGGGATATAGATTATATGTCGGTTCTTATTGTGGTTTGCTCAAAGGTGCTTGGCGAACAACTGTTTCTAATGGTTCAGATAATCGTGCGTATCTTTCTTCAAATGTGTATGGATTGTCTTGAAAAGAAATGCGGGTTGATGATTGGGGGTTAGGGGTAGTTGTTGGTGTTATTGGGTTTTCTTGGGAGGTTGTTGGTGGGGACTGTTGTGGTGGTGGTTGATTAGCAATTTTGAATAAATGTTTGGGTTTTCATTTTTTTATAAAGAAAATTTTTGTTTACTATAGTATTCTTCAATGCAAAAAATTAAAAGGATGGTTGCTAAAGCGAAAGTGATGACTGCCTTTTTTATACCTTTGCACATTGTCATTATAAGGGATGTTAAAAATGTGAGAAAAATTATGAATAGTAGAAAAATATCAGTTCTACTGAAGATGGTTCGAAACATTTAAATAGACTTGAAATTATCGTACCTGTGGAGGTTATCAAGGATTTTGGAAAGTTGGAAAAATATTTTGAAGAGGGAACAAAAAATTAAAAAAGGTTGCAAGAAATTATTAAAAGAATTATTAATGATTTAAAAGTTTCAGCTAAAAATATTTTACAAAAAAATAAGAACATTAGAAAATTTTATGATAAGGTTCAAAAATATCTGTTTAAAGTTATTGACTGTCGCGGAAAGAAGCATTTAAGAAATGATTCGTTTCGACGAATCTTTTTTAAGTTTTTGGGGCTAATTTGAAGTGTGGTCGGATTATTTATTGACTTTTTGACATGTGGGTTGGGTTTTGTCAAATGTTGTTGAGGGGTTATTTTATGATGCTCGAGAGGTCTTCTTGGTTTTGTTTTTATTTTTTGGATAATTGGGGGCATCCAGGAAATATTTGTACTTTAGGCTAAATGATCAGGTGTTTTTTTGCTCCTTAGGCTAATTTACTATTTTTGGTTGGGGAGTTTTTGAGGTCTGAGTTGGGAAAACATTGTTGATCTTTGTATTACTTGATAGATGAGGGTTGTATTATTGAAATAGTGTTTATTTAAGTTGTCAATCTTTAGCAGGTTGCTTATTTTTGACCTGGAGGTCTTGAAGTTATTGTTATAGTTATGCCTGGGGATTAATATCTATCGGCTAATAAAGTCGTGTTGGTGTCAATAAGGTGATGAATTATAGTGATTTATATTGGCTGATTTCAAACTAGTATTGTTCAAATGTGTTTTCAGCAAGTTATTACGAAAAACTCAAAATGATTAAAAATTGGAAATATTGATTAAAATTGAAGTTGTTTTTCAAATTCAACTTTCTTGAATGTTTTAGATTGTGGAAGGAATGTTTTATAATTTTTTCGTGGCTGACTTCTAAGTCGTGATGATTCTCTATGTTCAGATTTCTCTTTCTGATCCTGTGAGAAAATCGTTTCTGTTATTTTTTTTATTTTTTTCTTTCTTTTTGAGGTATGGTTGTTTCTGGTGTATGAGATGTTTGGGGGGCTACACTTTTTGTTGGATTGGTTTTTGATTCTTGTTTTTATCGATGTTTTGATTTTGTTCAGTTTCTGGATTGTTTTGAACAATTTT